ATGTCTCAGTATGAAGGTAAGTTGAAGTCGAATTCTTGGTTTGTAAACATAGAGTATACGTGTATCTTTGTATCTTCTGTTAGTATAAAGATGAGGCTACTTCGGAATCATAAAACGTGTCAAGCAGTGTTTGTGGAATTGATGTATAGCCAAAAATGTCCGGAATTTATTAGGTGATGATTTTCGGTGTAAAATAAAAGTGATGCTCTCTATTTTACTAGTAGATATATCTAGATAGTTCAGACAAATTGTAATTAGATGCACTTTATCCGACGAATCATGTCTTATTCAAATGTCACATAATGTGTACACCTACCATTTGTTTACAGTTCAATCTTTTCAGATCATGTAGTTCCAAAAAAGTGTCAACTGAGTTGTGTGCAACACAGTGCATAAAAAGTGTTGAGTTCCGCTTTCACGCCACTTACGTAATTAAAGCTATTTAGTCCCGCTCTTATTGATCTCTAGTCTTCGTACCTTCCAGATTAACCCTTTGACATAATGATTAGCTGTCGCTGCGTTTTCGTGTAGCTGAGGGATAGGAAGAAGAATGGGAAAAAATTTGACGATGATGACCTATTCAACCCGTGTAAGAATGTGGAAAGTATATGTATCCTTGAATTTCTTTCGTTGTTATTTTAGTCTTTGTTACCGCTAACGTTTTCCTTCTGAACCCTCAATGTCAAATATTCTCTTACGAAGCTCCTGAAATTCTTCAGCATCCTATATTATGATTTTCGTTTCCCAGCGTATGCTAGCTGAATCAGCTAGTTGTGGGCTGCAGCTCTGGATAACCCAGTAAACTGTTAAGTGTTTATTAAACTAGGAGGGAAGGATATGACTGGTTATGGGACTGGGTTCTCTACCGAAATCACCAAACATCGTTCCATCGGATAGGTATTCAAACCACCCGAATAGGAGATTTCTTTGGAAGTAGCAAATATGCTTTTGAAAAGAAACAACAACCAATGCGTCTGCTTTAGTGTAATCATGAAAATATCGTGGGACTTTCAGCGTATTTTTGGCAGTTACTAAATGGAATGGGCATCACAACAAGTGAAGGGGTAAGTACGCCAATGTGGAGGAATAAAATATTGTGTGGTGGTAGAAATGATGGCAACAACATAGGTTCAGTATGAAGACAAGAGGAATTTGAAAGCAATATTGTGACACTGGTTTATGCCTTCCATACAATCCATGTCCCAAGCAGATAGGTGCACTTCAGTTTTAGAGATATTAAATCTCCTTTTCCACCTAATAAGTTATAATTTTGATTCTACTTATTCGAACCGATCCAAACGCATTGTTTAGAAGCAACATATCTGAATACCTCTAAATGAAGCAAGTTTTTCTAAATGGAAATAAACTCGCTGATGTCATTAAATCTTGTTCATACATCGATGGTGCGAAAGAAGATAAAATATTCCCACATTCTTCGAACTTATTCATAAGGTAGTTAAATGTGTTCGCAGTGAATGTGATTATATCGAAACCAATCCCCAGTGTGACCACTTGTTATTAATGCGATTTCAAAAGCCTTTAAATGAATGGGAGTTTCGAAATGGAAATAGTGCCACTTGTATTTTTAAGTGAGGTTACATTACGATACAGCTTGATGACGTTGTCTGTAACGGAATAAACTATTTGTAAAAACCCTTCCTGAGCACTCTGTTTGACAGTATTGATATTTGTTTGAATAGTTTTGTCCTCTTTGTGGACAATATTCTTTACCCCTGACCGGATATATATATATATATATATATATATATATATATATATATATATATATATATATATATATATAAGGCTGTTGTTTATGGACTCAATATGCTTGTTGCTTTGTTTTATTCAACTAATTGGGAGATCACCAAGAAGCACGCTATGTATGATCTTATGTATTTTTGATGAGACCTACCTTAAGCTGATCATAGTGGTGATGTTTTAATGAGTCTGCTTCTGCGAGATCGCTAGATGCGTCCCCTGTAGTATCAGCATTTTGTCTGGAAGACAGTTGAGTAGGCTTAATAGTCACTACACACAATATATCATCTAGACATTCTAGGTGCCTAGTATGTTGAGTTTTGTGAAGCATACTTGTGTCCGGCCTAATGTATTTATCATATTCCTGGAGGCTAAGGATTTGTTTAGCAGCCGGCTAAAGTGAAAAGGTGAGATACAGACTCTAATTTCAACGGGAAATTGATTCTATATCTGAGAGAATTTGATGGAAAAGAAGTTAACACGAAGAGATGTTTTAAGTCTTAACTACAATTCCGTGTGTTTGATTATATAATTCACAGTAAAATCCCTATGGGAATTGGAGTTGCTGACTAGATGAAACTGATATATGCAGAATCTTGAAAAAGAAAACAAGATTTGTCCTTAGTCAAGTATTTAACAGTTAGATTTGGTTAGTCATTTTTCCGCTGTGTATGGCGTATTCCGTGCCAGAGAAATCTTTGGAATATGTGGTATTGTTGATAAACTTCTGTAGGTTTGATATAACTTGTTGTTGTTTAACATGTCAAATTGTGTCTTGATATTGTTGAAATATAGTCTTTGACTGTGAATGACTCCAGGAAAGTTGGGAAACCATACAGAAGAACGCAGTAACTTGTCGAGATCACGTTAACTTGGTTCCGTTGAGTTATTTTCTGCTTCCAGATCGAAATACTTGCATTTTGGTCATAACATTGTCCGCTATTGGACAGACGAAATTTAACTCATCTCTTGACCTTTATATACGACCCGCATACTATGTGGTTATCGTTCAGAAGATTCATTGTCTTCAGTTATCCAAGTTTTATCTTTAGCTGTCAAGTCATAGGAAGAGAAGGCAAAACAGATGAGGAAGTGTGATGTGACGACTATAATGAAAATAATTTGCTGAGTTTACCTGAACCATCATCCAGGAAGACATTGAGGGTCTTTTCAGTGTGATTTTGACACCTAATTTTGTGATGCTTCCGTCAAGTTATGGGGTTTTTGCAACAATTCAATACTCAATAGAAATTGCATATACCCGAACTCAATGTGTGTGAACTCCTATTTAATTTCGAAACGGTGAGGGCAATTTATCACTTACTTCAGGAAAGCCCACTGTCCAGTCAGAATGTACAGCAGGATCGTCTGCCTGCCAGCTCCGCTTCAGACATCCCATCCACTGGATAACCATGAGTCAACCCAAACTCAAACGTCTGTCGCGGCGCCTCAGGTGACCAGATTCACGTCGTTGGTGTAGCATACTGTAGTGTGGACCATGAGGATTTATCGCATAAAGTAGTACTTTATAAGGCCGATCAACTACTGAAAGACTATTTTGACTCACACTGAGTAGATCTGCAATGGTGGTTTCCAACACTGATGCTTACTTACAGTCAGAACCAATAGAGTATTTCAGCACCACCTGCTCAAATGATTTAACGTATGCTTCAGAGGATATGTTGACAAGCTCTGTACAACTTAGAGAAGACTAATCCGAAAAACAGGCAGATGACTAATGATCTCTCGATGGTGAAAGGTGCATACACGGAATGGTGTGAAAGATTGTTGCTGATGAGCATATCAATTGTTCAGGTGTTTACCAAAGCCCAAGCTTATTTAGTTGATTGAGGTTGGCAAATTTGTATAACCATCTTGATCTTAAAAACGCCACAGTAACGACTAAATGAGCACAACTAGTTGGCACGACCTGTGAGAATTTTGCAAAATCAGTGCCGAATAATACTGGAATTCGACATCGCAAGCTATGAGAAATTACTTAGAAAATACTTATCGGTCTTTATTACTGAAGCGGGGAGAAGAATTTTCGTCAAACACTATTCCTCTAAGTGTGGGTGAATCGTTCAGCTCATTACCAGCTTTTATGGATTCAGTCCAGTTAGTTCAAACTACGTCACAAAACAGATTCAGCAATTGATTATTACAGAAAATGTTTTACTGTCTGCTAAAAGGTCTTTAGCCAACATTTCTGCGGAGAAACGCAGAAAAAAGTGCAGGTGCATTTCCAGACCATGGGACGAATAGAAATAAACTGGCAGTCAGTGCTGACGTGTTCTTTAGCATCATCTTACACCTCACTGGTGCGAAACATATGCCAAGAGTAATCGGGTTTCATTTCAGATTTTAAACACTCGCCTAACAGGACAATGTCGTCTACCTACGCTTCCGAGTCAGTTTGGTAACCTCCGGGAAGTAGGTAAATGGCTGTAAGGTTGGAGGTACCTAAACTCTTATACAATAATTTATCTATAGCGAAGTTAAAGACAGATAGTGGCAACAGAAATCTCTGCAGAAAACACTGACTCTCTTTACTTTACACAATGACCCTCAATATATCCCTATATTGCTGCGTGGGTTATAGTAAACAGCCTCCACTAGTTTTACATACTTCTTCGGTACGCCTTTCACAGACAGCCACCGCCACAACAAATATCGGTCGATAGAGTCAACTACCGCCTTCAAATTAAGAAACATGGTGGGTATTAGTCACTAGTAGGTGTACATCAGTGTTCAAAACGGGAAAATCGGATCAAGTTTACAACCTAATTGGTTTTCTCTAGTATTTTGTTCACAAGCTCCAGTCAGGCGTCGTATAACTGTCGACCTTAAGAGCATTACCAGGAGGTTCAATCGAACATTTGAACTTCTTTTATTGTAAACAAACACTGTATTTCAAGTCAGAAAAAATATTTAAGGAGAGTGAGCTATATGACCTAGCTTGTTGAGTACTGTAGTGTTAATTACCTCCATAATAAGTCAAATAGTGATTGCAAATGACAAAAACAAGAGTAGATATAATTAAATCATATCATTTATCAAAAAAATATTTGCTGAAAAACTTCCACTGAAGTCTATCAGAAAAATCAACCAGACTATAAATGTATATGTACAATAGTTTTTCTTTTTAAATGCATATTATTATATAAAGGTCTAAAAGGTAAAAAGTTATGATTCAAATCTTACATATCACAATTTCCAGGAAAACATTATGCAGAGTACTAAAAGTTTTCACGTTCTGAGAAATCTCTATGATTGCTATTTTGGTAGCTGCTCTCTACATTATCAAACCAATCATAGCCTCTAGTTACAACAGTCTTGTTTTGACAAACATAATTCTTTATCATATTTGATTTCGAAGGTGCAGAAGTTTGGTTCTGTTTCTTAGAGATCTCTTCATCCTCTTTAATAAGTGCAGTCAGTTTATCAATACAAGAAGTGGGTAATTTACGTAGATCAAAAGCAATCAGTTTAGGATTATCGTGTATCACTTTTACGGCCCTGTTACTGTTATTCAACATACTGGAATTCGATTTATTTTTACGTTCTAATGAATCTGGTGATTTTGGTGAAATATAATATAGTAAAATTTCACTCATACGAATAGCCAAATGTGGTTCACGTAAACGAATCAATCTGTCAAATAAAACCTCTAAATTATGACTGCTGGCTTTTGTTGAATCTGTAAGTTTAGTTTGAACATTTGTAGTAGTTGGTGGAATGTCCAGATTAATATCCTTCTCTAACTTCTTACTATCACTACTACTGATAGTAGTAGCAGTAGTAGTCGTCGTTATAGTAGTAGTACTAGTAGTAGCAGACGTATTATCACCGGACAAATTATTTTTACCGACAGGATTTAGATGGCTTTTCGCTTTCACAACATTCGGCAATGATTCACGCGTAGAGGATTGATGAGCAACAGTTGGTCCACGCTTTTTTTCATTCAATTTTAACAGATTGGCACTATTTCGAGATTCCTCAGCAGATTTAATCTCACTCATAGTTATCAGATGACATGTATCATCAGACAGCATTGGTGGAGTGACAGAAGAAGATGATGGTGACGAAGAAGCACTAGACGGATCGGAAGACAAAGATGACAATTCTGCGTCCATAAGAGTTTTGTCAAAACGTGAAATGCTTGCTCCAGTGTTGCTACTGTTGCTGCTTGTTTTTTAGACAGATTTACTCCACTTGAAGATCCCCTGGAAGACTGATCTTTAACTACTTTTTCGGTTTAGTCGGCTTTTTCGTCTCAGTGGAGTTTAGGACTTTAGAAGATTTCTGTGTTCCTGAGATTGAAATGGAGCTAACTGGAAAAGAATTCACACAAACAAAGATATTCAAATAATTTTACACAGTAAAAAGAAGTGGAATTAGAAAGATGCGACTGTATACACATAAATAAGAAATTTTCCTAACCGGAAAATGATTTTTATCAGCGAACTCAGACCCTCCAAAATAAACTGGAAAACACCTACTAACTGAATGGAGATAAACGATTCCATTAGATTGTGTAAATATGTAAACATACAATGAGACCTGTGTCTGATATAATTATGAGTCAAAACTATCTACAACTGAATGACTGAGTGTACACTAACCTCATGCTTGAAGGAACCCAAAACATAACACGTGACATTATGTCGCTGAAAATGACAGTCGATCTAGCGCTAAGACCTCTTGCATTCAGTTCTTAAAGGGAAGCATAAACGTTGGCTTATTCTCTAATTTGGGACCCGACAGTACGTAGTACAAGATATGATAGTCAAAAAAGGTGTATAATATACGGTGTTTGCAGATTACATGTAGGCGCATAGCCGCAGTGTGAACAGATCGATAAGCGGAGAGGTAAGGAGTCCGAGGAATCCAACACTAACTACAAATACCAACCCATAATAGTATGCGTGAGTAAAACTGAAATGGTGTACACAGTCAATGCCATTAAATTTCTGGTTAGATATGCAAAAACTAAGTGAGAAAACCTAAAATTTAATAATAATAGTAGCTTTATTCCAAACAACACGTGTAGTACGGTATGGAATTCTCGGCATGTAATAAATTCAACAAATTCATTCCTTGTATATGATATTTTTCATCGAAATAATCATTGCGTTTGAATAATGTCAATAATCACATTAATAAAAGCCACAATATGAAACAGGCACCTGTTATGGTATTAGCGTCTGGTTTAGACTGGTAAATTAATAGAACGTAATGATGGTGGTGGTAGTTTATGCAACCAGTACACAAAATCTGCACTTCGACATAGTTATCCAAGGAATAGTAATGTACTGCATTTCTATGCACTGTAGACCCATCTCTCACCAGCGTACGTTTTTGTTGTCAGCTTGGAAAATGGCGGTTTGGAACCATTTTAAAAGTGTGTAAGAGTATATGACAAGTGTAAAAAATATATTTAAAAAACTCAAAAAATTGAAAGTACAGAATTTGATGAAATACATTCGGTGGTAAATTTTGGTAGCCCAAAGTTTAAACATGCTGCTGTATGACTTGAGGGCGATTTACAATTCGTAAGTTTCAATGAAACTTTGATAAGAATATTTCAACGACCTTACACTTTACATTGTATACGGGTTCCTCAATCTGAAGATATTTTGAGATGAAGGTGGGTAGAGCAGAGTAGAGGACATTCATAAAAACTATGGTCTGCATGTTTATAAGCAGAGTAAATAATACCTTATACACCTAAAATAGTTAATGACAATCAATATGCGAACAGTTGTATCAATACGTCAGCAAAAGAATAAATAAATTTTGCTTTCATATACTGAATGGTACGATGTGTTATGACAAATGTTTATAAGCTACCCAAATAAGGTTACTACTCTTGAGACCTAGTAAAAAGATTCCTTCCTGGAGAAAGGTACGTTGGTAAGTTGATAAGCAGAACCAACAAGTAAACAATGAACACTGCTTTGATCAAACAACTTCAAAATCATAAAGTACTTGCGTACAACATACTAAACAATTAGAAATCTTTTAAGAAAAATGTCAACTCATAACTTAAGGTCAGACAACAAAAAATATAACCTTGAAAACCATATGAAAAGAATTCTAGTTATCAACGAATGGAGTTCCTAACATCAAACAAAACATAACTTACAAGTTTCGTACTCACTAGAAACTTTCGATGAACTTTCTGGTTGTCTGTCATTCTTTGTAGACTTATTCGTATGCTTCACACCTTTATCTTTACTCGACAGACATGTTTTGTTGTGTCCTGGTGAATTTTCAAACTGTTTGGTATGATCAACAGTTGTAATCGATGGTTTACATGAAGATTTATCATATGACTTGAATTTCTTTACACTTGACTTTTGTCTGTTATGCACTTCTACGGAATGACTATCTGAAAGACTAAGTGATTTAGACTGACGATCATCTGATGATTTTGAAAGATTTAAGATTTTCGGTTGTTTTGCTGGAATATTTGGATCAATCGACTTGTTAAAATCTACCTGTTTTTATGATTTAAAAAAAGCAACAGAACAATGCATTATTAACATGAGTTTCATTCATTTGAATCTTTATTACATTTAACCGAAATACCAGTGCACAACATAATTAAATGGGTTTGTAAGTAATTGAAAATATGAAAACGCAACAGATCTAAATTTCTCATATAAAATTCAATATGAATAAATTAAACAGTGCTACACTTCTACATCAATAAAGAAATTGTTTAGAAATATTACGATATGCCAAATACTACTATATAATGAGGTTAGAATGTCGACTGTTTCAGTACACATAAGTGTTAACCATAAATTACTCACAGTGGAGTATTCTGTGTTCATTTAATTGCACTAATGTAATACTAACTACAAATATACAAACTGAATAGCAGAGTTAGAGTTTGCTATTCATGCAAAATTGTGATGAGCATTTATTTTTATGTAAAGAAATAAAGATAATATCAATCAACTAACTGCTATATATATATATATATATATATATATATATATATATATATATATATATATATATATATATATAGTACGATATCTACAACTAAATCAGCATAAATAGCTCAAAACCATTATCAACAACCAACAGTGCTCATTACTTAGATCAAAATGAAGTACGCAACAGAGTATACTTACTAGCTATGTAGCTGTTTCGTTTTATTTTAGAGTGCTGAATACTTCAAATCACTCAGAAATTGAACAACTTATCAAATGGAATGACAATCTTTTGAATTCTGTAAGTATTGCTTCAATACATATCATACTATTGTAAAAATCAAACGAAAACAAAGGGTGCTGGACGTATTATGAATTCAACTTAATTATTGATTTCAATCAGGTTCAATGTTAGTGTTAACTAGTACTTCATTATTGATAACCTTTAAGTTTCTATCAACTCAAAGTGAGTAAACATGAATAAAACCATAATAAAGACAAAGAGGTAAATGAGTATGACAGTTGGCTCACTTCCTCACTTAGTTTCATTTTCCCGGATGAATAGATTCGTTGTTAAGAGTCAATAAGTTAGAGCGAAGTCTACTTCATCTCTCCTACTGTTACATAAATACCTTTATTAAATTCATAAGTAGTTCGTGTATCGTGGAATGAATCAATTTAAATGAATGTTTACACACAACAATCAGGTTTTTATTCCTTGATAATGTTTCAACTATTGACGTGATCACAGGCAGTACTGAAACCGAAATATCTAATCATTGTGTATTGAAATCCATTCTAAAATTTGTTTATAATAAACAGATATCTTTATGACCACTGAAGATTGGGAGATAATTTGACTCAATGCTATGAGATGATATCAGATATGGATTAAACTAGGAACCGGTGGTGATAACGTTGTAGTTTGCTTGTATCTTGTGAAAAGTGACAAAAATGCTAGGAAAGCTGTTCCGAACGTATAGTATTATGAAAGCAACTAACTGATTAGTGTTTCTCTGCTTTCATCATAACTCTTTCCTCTTCTACCTTCAAAGTATAGTTAGATTATGCTTTGACACATTTATTAGTACTTATTTCTGTCAAGTTAATGTTTGAAATAAATAAAATCACACTTAAACTATATAGTTGATTCTGATGTATTAACTAAAAGCAAGAATTGGAGTTAGTTAAACAGCACAGTTTCCAGTGTTATTGTAAGCTAATACCACCTGATACAGATTAAAGATAAAAAGGTTCAAAATCGTTAAACATGAAAATGTTTATAAATACTACAACCCTTGAGTTCTGATTTAGACAGTGTAAAGAAATGAAGGTTAGTGATACAGGCCAATCAATTGTAGGTATCCATAAACACGGGTAAAAATTATTTTCAAAACATTATAAAATAAATGTACAAAAAAGAACGTTACTTTCAACTGAGTATAAGGATTTTATTATGAAGACACAAACAATGCTGCTGTAGAAGTAATACAAGTAAGGACTGAAAAAATTGCTTGTTAGGAAATTACGAGGAGTCTTGATGAAATATGAAAACCTTACACTAAGCCTAGCTCATAGAAATAATCTTTGCAATCTATGAGATGTGTTGATCTGCAGTTTCTGTGGCTTCTTCATTTTTCTTTCATATTTACTTTTAGTATTTCTTGTTTCCTCCTTTAGAACCTCTACCGACTGAATGAAAGCTCTGTCTGCTTTTCTCAAAGGTATCAAGTTATTTACTAATTACATACAATTTGTATAAGCATCACTTACTACATTCAATACCTGGGCTCATCATTGTTAGATAGGCTGAAAACTTCCTATAAAGAAGAAAATTGCTAATCAACACAGTAACCCCAACAGTTACCGCAAAAATTATTCACAAAGTATGTGTTAAAAAGTTACTAACTACTTAAAGAAAAAGATTCGACTTAGAAAGAAAACTTACATCTGAATACGACAAACATTTATTTGAACTGTTAGCGGAAATCTTAATCTTTGATTTTTTCGACAGTCTTGACTCAGTTTTGTCATCAATATATTGTTTACTTTTACCAAGTGATAGCTGAGATTCATCCGAGTCTATTTTACTTCGCTTAACACATTTTTGATCAGTAAATTTAGATGCCAATATTTGGTTGGTTGGTTTATTTAACTCATCACTCGTAGAGTAAGTTTTCGGTGGTGTAAAATCATCAAAATCTTCCTCATACAATTCACTACTGGTAGCTGCGACTGAATGTGTCAACCGTTCTTCGGGATCATATGGACGACTACTACCACCATCGCTAGCAGCTGAATAGCCAGGATTATGACCGCTGACAACCGATAATTCGTCAGCATACCTGAAATTCCTCACATTTGATGAAGAGAGTATAGCTGGTGGGGGAATAGAATGCGGGACTGAAGTAGAATGCTGTTCTCTCTGCTGCTGCATTTCGTCACCGAAATAATCAACTACTGGTGTTTCTCTCCCAGAATCGTTTGGAAAACAACCATCATGATAATCGTCATCTTTCTGATCCAAGAGAAGTAAATGGGAATGTGTTGATCGACTATAAGAATCACCTAGAGAATCAGCATCAGATGTAAATGCGTCCTTCCCAACTTGTTGTAATTCATTCATTGGAGAATATTGATGTTTTAGCCGTTGCTGTTGACTTACTCGATGTGAAAGTTCATTTTCCTCCCCTTTTTTACTGAGTTTTAATGAATCCTCCTTTACGTTTGCACTTCCGAGCATTGACGCATCACTATTGCTTTTATTGCTATGACTTTCACTACTGCTAATTTCAGAGCGGATTTTAGGACTTGCATTCCCTGATTTACGTTGACTATATACCAGTCTGGGACTCGAATTATTTGAACACGTATCACGAGATGAATACTTTCTAGGTGAATAATGCTTTTTAGACGAAGTTGATGATGTTTCTGAAGAAAATATCTGCGACGACAACTTGCTCATGATATGAGTCTCAATCATGTCCTTATCTGACATACCGGCAACAGTAGTACTGACCGTTGTATTGGGACGATTAGTCAGTGAATGCTTCGATGATGAACCCTAGTGATAAAAAACACATTAAAACCGATTGAAAGTGTGTATGCAGTGACGATAACTATAGAAATACAGAAAGATGGTCGTTATCCATACTTTGATTATTTCCCATTTCGAAAGACACGTCCACTCCTTATTACAAGTTGAGTAGCTCCCGTTGTATTAATCAATGGGATAGAAGTCCATCCGTTTACGTTGCTACACTTTATAGTATCATGCAGAAGAAATGTATATAGGATGACATAAAAGCAGAAAAGCTTAGACAAATATAAGATTAGACAGACGAATAATAATGGAAATGTGTTAAATTTCCAAAATGACGAAGAGTGAATACAACTAAATTCTTATGATCGATTATCAACTATGACTTCAAGATCCTTCACATGTACTCAAGTGAGGTAGTCTGAATCTCCAGATACATAATAGACCAACAGCCCGGTCCGGACTACTCGACCGATAGCTGATACCATGACGTGGTAGTCAGGCTTGCATACAAGTTATCCTGGTGGGACGCTTGTTTCGCCGAGGTTGTTCCATAGTAGAAGGCTTTGCTGGATAGCGATTACACAAAAAGCAGTTGTCGTTACAGCGTAAACTGTAACGTAATGACAGGGGTTAGCGAGTGAAGTCAAACTGCAGCCTGAAAAAAAGTGATAGTAGTAACATGTTTTCCGAGGATGACCAGTAGTTCCACGCTGATGCTGCCTTCCATATGGGGAGAAAAGGAGGTTTCCTCAGAACACCTACCACATTATTACCTTCGAATCTTCCCTCAACTCCCTGTCAATCACCACATATCATCCTTAATTTCTTCTACAAATCCACCTCTCCACAAAAAGTCAAGTTCACAAAACAACAACAACCTTGACCTCCTGAAACCACGCTCCAAAGTGTGCATTGCATCTTCCGATCTTCACACCTCTCCCACCATCCAGCTGCACAATAAACTCCGTCTACAAACAACTCTGGCATCTTGAGACATCGACGTGTGCTGTCTCCGTGAGACAGCGCAGCAAACACTTAACTGCAACTATTCACCTAACCTCGCCTGACCAATATGCCGATTTCGCGAAATTTAGCCCCGAGTGGCTGGAGATTTGTGGGCCAATTTTCGCAGTCTTGCAGCTGTAGGTATGATATTGATCACTTAGGCAGAGAGTTCACTACTCGACAGTTGACAGTCACCAAATGGGACCAAACGGAATGGGGGAACTGACCGTAACCTCTTTGTAATCTCTGCCTACGCATCCACTAACCTCAGTGATGTGAATGGTGAGGTCTACTGAAAACCGACTAACCTCTTACTGAAAGTCAAGCGTTCAAACATGGTGGCTATTGCTTGTGAAGTCTAACGGAAAGGCACTCATGTGTCACTTTCGGAATCCCACATGAACAAACACAACCGCGATCACCTGCTACAACTGTCCTCGGATAACCATCTGTTTCTAGTAAACATGAACTTCAGATATGAAGAGAGGGACATTGCATGGCATGAGGTCCACCAACTTCAGCTCAGTGGTGGATACATTTAGGCCAAATTGCCATCCGTTATTGCTCGATAGGGTCCGTGGAAGACTGTCACTCCTTCTGGAGTACGTGTTTGGACTGTTGGTTTGGGTCATTGAAAGTGATGCTTACTAGCCAGTCGGGGTCCACGTGACAAGAGAAGCAAGTGGTTAGAGACTTCAAATGAAAAGCTTCAACATCGATGTCATTGGCGCACATGAGTCCTTACATTTTCTTAATCTTAGTCACTATACTAAATTTAACATTTACTCATTCTTCCTTCCTCTCTTTTACTACTTCCTACTAATTCTGATAGACTTTACTCCTTTCCTTATATAATAACTTTGTTACTTGATGTGCTGATTTGAGGTGTGGCAACTTGCACCGCTACACAGTAATGCCAAGTTCAAGGTTCGTATTGATGATGATGATCGTCAGGGCTCACTTGGAAATCTTCAAATCCAATCCTAATACGGCTTCTATGCAGCGCTGAAATAAGCGGTGGCTATCTCACTAAGAGTTCTCGATCACTAATTCCTATCGTCTTGAGGACCCCAGACACACAGTCTACATATACCCATATGGCTCAGACCAACAGTCAGGGACTTCATCAACTGATATCACGTCTTGGTCTGGATATCCTCAATTCTCTTCCTAACTATTCTAACTTCCCCTACCCATGGCACGTCGCGACAAGTGCTGACTCGGTGTGCACAAAACATGTCCAAACCATCTCAGCCAATGAAGGTTCACAACCTCATCAATCCACTTGAATATCTTGCCTACTACCATTCGTCCGACCTCAACATTACTCACATCGTGATTCCACCAAACGCGAGCAACGCTATGAAGACACCTGTGATCAAACACCTAGTAATCCCTTCAGGTCTTCTACTTTTAACGGATATGTCTTATAGCCACACGACACGACACGACACAACGGACTGCAGCGCAGTATACTCGTCCTTTGGTTGACAGTCGGATATCATCTCGCAAGTCGGCGCCACAGATGACGCGAGTTGGCAAATGCCAAACAGGTCTTTCGTATCTCAGCTCAGATTTCGTCAGAAACCACCCTGTTCCCGCTGACGCAACTCCCCAAGTAAGTCAAGTGGTCGGCACATTCTACCACTTCACTTCCTATCATTAAACTGAGAGTAGTTGCACACCAGTCTTGGGGCATCATCTTACATTTCACAGGTGTGAAACCCACACCAAACATACTTAGATTTATACTCAACGTGTCCAGAAGACCCTGCATTGCGTCAGCATCTTAACCTAGCAGGACAATATCGTCTGCATACTCCGAATCAACCAGATGACCTCCAAAGAGAAGGTCAATCAATGTGAGGTCAGATGTAGCTGAAGACTCAAAAACGCGTTCACAGCCTTTGCCAAAGAATTCCTGTTTACTGCCTCTAAGTAGCGAGGGTGTTTTCACAGATGTGAAAAGGCGCAAGTGAATGTCCGACGCTTATCAGAGGACTGGTGGATACTGAAGGTCCACCTAGGAGAGCTGAAAAACCCTGATTCCAAACCAATGGTCTTCATGGGCTTCATGTTCCAGATTGAACAAATGGCATATGAACCTATTTTGTTCACCTGAATTCAGTCGGATATCATCTCGCAAGTCGGCGCCACAGATGACGCGAGTTGGCAAATGCCAAACAGGTCTTTCGTATCTCAGCTCAGATTTCGTCAGAAACCACCCTGTTCCCGCTGACGCAACTCCCCAAGTAAGTCAAGTGGTCGGCACATTCTACCACTTCACTTCCTATCATTAAACTGAGAGTAGTTGCACACCAGTCTTGGGGCATCATCTTACATTTCACAGGTGTGAAACCCACGCCAAGCATACTTAGATTTATACTCAACGTGTCCAGAAGACCCTGCATTGCGTCAGCATCTTAACCTAGCAGGACAATATCGTCTGCATACTCCGAATCAACCAGATGACCTCCAAAGAGAAGGTCAATCAATGTGAGGTCAGATGTAGCTGAAGACTCAAAAACGCGTTCACAGCCTTTGCCAAAGAATTCCTGTTTACTGCCTCTAAGTAGCGAGGGTGTTTTCACAGATGTGAAAAGGCGCAAGTGAATGTCCGACGCTTATCAGAGGACTGGTGGATACTGAAGGTCCACTAGGAGAGCTGAAAAACCCTGATTCCAAACCAATGGTCTTCATGGGCTTCATGTTCCAGATTGAACAAATGGCATATGAACCTATTTTGTTCACCTGAATTCAGTCGGATATCATCTCGCAAGTCGGCGCCACAGATGACGCGAGTTGGCAAATGCCAAACAGGTCTTTCGTATCTCAGCTCAGATTTCGTCAGAAACCACCCTGTTCCCGCTGACGCAACTCCCCAAGTAAGTCAAGTGGTCGGCACATTCTACCACTTCACTTCCTATCATTAAACTGAGAGTAGTTGCACACCAGTCTTGGGGCATCATCTTACATTTCACAGGTGTGAAACCCACGCCAAGCATACTTAGATTTATACTCAACGTGTCCAGAAGACCCTGCATTGCGTCAGCATCTTAACCTAGCAGGACAATATCGTCTGCATACTCCGAATCAACCAGATGACCTCCAAAGAGAAGGTCAATCAATGTGAGGTCAGATGTAGCTGAAGACTCAAAAACGCGTTCACAGCCTTTGCCAAAGAATTCCTGTTTACTGCCTCTAAGTAGCGAGGGTGTTTTCACAGATGTGAAAAGGCGCAAGTGAATGTCCGACGCTTATCAGAGGACTGGTGGATACTGAAGGTCCACCTAGGAGAGCTGAAAAACCCTGATTCCAAACCAATGGTCTTCATGGGCTTCATGTTCCAGATTGAACAAATGGCATATGAACCTATTTTGTTCACCTGAATTCAGTCGGATATCATCTCGCAAGTCGGCGCCACAGATGACGCGAGTTGGCAAATGCCAAACAGGTCTTTCGTATCTCAGCTCAGATTTCGTCAGAAACCACCCTGTTCCCGCTGACGCAACTCCCCAAGTAAGTCAAGTGGTCGGCACATTCTACCACTTCACTTCCTATCATTAAACTGAGAGTAGTTGCACACCAGTCTTGGGGCATCATCTTACATTTCACAGGTGTGAAACCCACGCCAAGCATACTTAGATTTATACTCAACGTGTCCAGAAGACCCTGCATTGCGTCAGCATCTTAACCTAGCAGGACAATATCGTTTGCATACTCTGAATCAACCAGACGCCCATTACTCAGGAAATAGAACAATCACTGTGAAGTCAGATGTACCCTGAAGTTATGCCCACCACTACATCTATAAGAAAGTTAAGTAGGAACGGTGTTGGTGGACATCACCAGTTGTCGTTAATTCACATGACAACTCTCCACCAGTCCTGATATGCTTGCCTGAGTTCGAGCAGAGAGCTTTCACAATCACACACTGCCACAATACCTCATAGTTGATGGAGTCTGGTACCGCCTACAGGTTAACAAATATACCAAGTGTCGGCCACCGGTAGGGGTTCCTGTGTTCAATAACCTATCGCAGGGGAAAAATTTAATCGGTGTACCCTCGTTTAGTTCTATCTGAAACATGCTCGGTTACCCAAGTTTACATTTTTCGATCTTAACTTGGGCGTTCGATAACTATGGATCCTAGGGTGTTCGATACAACACTAGTCAACCTAATTTTCCCCCATAGTTGTCTCAGGAAGACTTTTATCCCTTCTTATAGACTGAGATGAATATAGAAGTGGACCAATCTAACGACAATGCCTTTGATTACCATTTATCACCTAGTACCTCCGCCACTCTAACCAGCAGTTTCCTACCTCTATCCTTGAAAACGTCGGGTGGAAAACTGACAGGTCCTGCTGCTTTGCATCGTTTCACGTTCGATATGGCCTCTTCAACTTCAAGGAAAGTTGATAAACCGATATCTACGTCCTATTCAGGTTCAAGCTTGATGTTGGGGAAGTGAAGTGTTGCTAAAGGCTAGTTGAACTGTACTTCAAAGTGTTCTGCTTAACGTTTTAGCTTCCTGTCCGTGGAGGTCACCAGCGTCCTAGCCTTTTCGGTGATGGTTTGACTAATCCTTGTTTTTCTCTTGTTGTCCGTATCTTTAATACGCCGAAAAAGCCGCTGAGTGTTAAGCAACCCTGATCCCTTCTCCTTGTCCCTCGCTTTCGTCACCCACCAAACCTCGCGATCGACGCGAAGACTCTTGGTCAACTTACGTTTCAGTTGCTTTCGCTCTTAATCGTAGTTACATCCATCTTGAATTAGGTTTCTCGCATTAATCAGTTAGCATGCTCCTGTGGGAACCCAATGACGTTCTCTTTGCCGCTGCTTCTATAGCATACTTAATATCACTCCACGGAACCTCAGGATGAGCATTGCTGTCATGTTCAGAAAAAAACTTAGGTATATCTTCCTTAAATATTTACTTAACGTTCTCACCTTCCTATCGACCACACATGGGTTTTACTGTTGCCGGTTTGCTGCAACTAGTGAAACGCAGGAATACACTAGCTCGTATTAATGCGTGAACGAAATCCAAACTGGTACTTCAGAAAGAGTTTTATCCTACAACTGTGAAACCTGTACTCCACGAGTTGGGGGATTTCCGACGACTGAGTTTCCGACCACAGTTGTTTCAGTAGGACTGCTTGCACGTAGTAAAAATACCATGTAGGGAATCCTCAGGTGAGGTGGGTCACGCTTTTGGGTATGGTGGAAATGGTGATTCACTGAGTCACGTCATCATAGAATGCCGTCGTCAGATGGTTTGGAGTTGTTTTACGTACGTTGTCCTAACATCTTCCATATAGCTTACTGTTTGCTTCCGTTGAGACTAGTTGGAACAGACGATAGCAGACATGGCTCAGAACAGATACAAGTGACCATCGTGCTGCAGTTTACTAGTTTCCTCTGTCAAGGGGAAAACAAGATGCGAGTGTCGAATGTTACCATGAATATTCTGAAAGACTGTTTCTTTAACAACCCACTTCTGTTATTGTGTTCGTTATTTTTTATTCTTCTCCTATCGTGCTTACATCTCTTTAGGGCTGCTACAATAATTATTCAGTAAGGTGCAGCTGTTGATGACTGTCTTAAATCATACTCGTGCTTTAAATTATATATATATATATATATATATATATATATATATATATATATATATATATATATATATTAGGCAATGATGATCAACACTGTCAACACACTTCAACTTATGAAATTTTAATTTCACATTAACTATTATTTCAAATTCTGCCTAAAATATTGGATATTGATTTATATACACGTATACCATAAAATAGACAATTTACCCTTGAACTTTTGTCATGACGTTCTTTCTTAGATTCCTTCTTGTGTTTTTTTCTATCTAATTTCTCAACAGCAAACTCATCATCAAGGGGTTGTGAAGATGAAACTGATAACTGGCTCCCACAACTTGATCGTGATAATTTTAGGACAATACGCTGTTTAGGCGCAGAATTTTCTTGTTTGTTAGAGTCGACTACATAACTTATTTTAGTCGGATCAGATTTTGGTGATTTCATGAAAGGTGTGTCCTTGGTTATTTTGCGATGAAAATGTACCACAGGGGATTTTTGGCTTTTGTAGGAGTGATGATCCTGTTCGACTATATCAGTTTGCTCATGTAGACTGGACCTCGATGGACTGAAATGTGATGACCATGTAGATGGATCAGGAGAAGGCATATGACTACCTTCAGGACTGTTTATATTTGTAATCATGGGCGGCTGTATTTGTGGTGGCGGTGGGGAAATTACTGGTGCCCAATTCTGACTTTGTTGCGCCTTTTCCAATAATAATTGAGCTTCATGTAACAACTGAAGTTTCTTTTTATGCTTTTGTGGGAGAAATTGATTTGTCAGCAAACGATCAGATGAAGATGAAGATGACGATACTTGTAAACTGTGGTTAACATCTGAATCTAGGAGGAAGTTATGATCTTCAGGTGTTCGTCTAATAAATTCGTGATGCATATTTTGATCATTTGAGCCGTATTCCGAAGTTTCAAATTTGTACATGCATCAGTTTTAGAATAATCATGCATTTTCGCTTGACTTGTTGATGTAGCTAATTTATCCTGATAGGATATGGAAAGTTTTATAGATTTTTAAAACAGTAGAATGAACAGCGTGCATCATTATTAAATATATTGCGCAATATATTTAATAGTAAGAATATCGTTTGAAAATGTTTTTCAGGTACTTAATTCTGAAAAACGGAGTGTCCGATACATCCTGATGAGTAGTGAGTCTGTGAGTAGAATCCCATACATAGTTCAGATTTGCGAAATCATATGATAGAGCTCAAAATTAAAGCTAAAGACAATGCTGCGTGGACAACACGACAGGTTGACAAGTAAACAACTTCTTTAAACTACTGTCGCTGTGACCGTTCCGTTGTTTTCGATCATCACGAAGAGAAAAGTCATATACTCAGCAGTAGTTCACTTTGATATACTCAACCAGCGTGAGAAATGACTATTGAGAAAGAGTTGTAAAATTTGTAAACATTTAATCACAGGTCTCCTGATAGAGTTGCTTGGATATAATGGAATCCCACCCAGTGATGCAATACTTAGATAAGACACAACGTTTTACACAAGACAAATCAATTGATAAGATCATGAATCTGTTCACATTGATGCAACTGAAACTTGTCCTACGCACATCCACTCGTCAATTAATGTAAGGTCATCCTTAAAAAGGTATCAAGTGGACACACTATTAACGAGTAAAAACTAAAAGACAAACTTTTACAGGAAAGCGTAACAGAATGTCAGCTGCTACAAAAAATTGGAAGCACACTTCTGTAATACACCCTATTGCTCTCATCGATTAGAGGAAATCAAATAAGCGACTGAATGAGTTCCACATTGCCGTAGAGGACAAAAATGGATAGGAAATTAAATATTAAAATGAATAATAAAACCCAGTTGGAAGACCACTAAATAACGAATCAATATACGCGTAGAGAAATCAGTTGTTCGAAGAAATATTGTGTGTAGAAGCAACATACAGTATAACTGCAGGCAACATTAAAAAGACTGCCTGGTAAACATTGTGCAACTTCAGTCTATCAAAATAGTGAACACGGTTAAAAAGCAGTGGGATAGGAATATTGACCCCTCAGCCCCAATAAACAGGATAAATGAATTCTGTGTCAAATACCCGTGTTCTATCGTGGATGTGTTCTATAAAACTAGGATAATATTCGGTACATTTTTAAGAATTTTAATTTTTAAAGAAAAGTTGCAATACCTGTACTCTGAGTATTTGTGAAACTAACAAAAAAAGGGGTTCTCCTAATCTTTTCAGTGAGAGAAGATACCCTTTTATTTGTGAATAAGAACAAGATTAGTGCGAGAGTAAAACTTGGGCCTCGTGGTAGGTTGTAATTCCATTTTGGCCTGTCTGTTGGAAATGCCACACAGTGAAACAGTATTATTTACTGGAAAACGCTTCGGACATGATTCATTTATGAATAATAACTTGATTTCATAATAATTTAGAGATGATATGAATATGGACAATGAATTATGTTCGAAACGTAATCTAGGAAATAATACTGTTTCAGTGTGAGATTTCTAATGAACGGACTAAAACAGAAGTTTGTTTTACAGGCATTGCGAGAAATGTACCCCTCAAAATAAATGGAACGGGAAACCTTTGTGTCCACTGAAGATTAGAACTAACCTCCCACATCTTTGCTCTTAAATATTTTCTTATGTTGACCGTTAAATACTGCTACGTCATCTTTAGTTTATTTCCGCTCGGCTGTCCTCGACTGTCCTACTAGTTCGCACAACGGTATTCTTCGTGTCGTTAAACCGTGCTCAAAACCACATATACATAAGTTCACTTACCGCACCCGTCGTCGAAACCGACAACTACATTTGCTAGCTATAACTGTCTCACCACACTCCATAGAAGTGTAGTGTGTTTATGTTTTGCACTTACGAGATTCAAATGCAGTCACTCACCTAACCTTCTCCAATCAATATGGCGAATCTGCACAATTCACTCTTTGACGTCCCACTTTCGATGGCTAACTAACGTAATCGTGCTGCTGTGGGCATCGCTTTATCAGCAAGATAGGGTGTGCACTGCCCAACTAGACACAAGTTGACAATCACCTGTATGCCGTTCGACTGAATGCTGCAGTTATCACCAAAGAGAATGATGTAACTCGCCGCTGTCCCTTAGTAATCTCCCCTTACGCGCCTTCTGACTGCAGGTCGCATGAAGGGGAAGACGAGTCCCACCGAAAACTGTCAAACCTTCAATTTAAAGTCAGACGTTCAGGAGTAGTGCTTGTAGCAGGTGATTTCAGTACGCAGATAGATAGATAGATTAATTCAGACAGATAGACGACTAGGTGACGCTTTCGGAATCCCAGTCGGACATCCGTAATTGCCTGCGACAACTGTGTTCAGACAACCACGCACCTATGCCAAGCACGAGCATTCGACAAGAAGAGGGACATTGTCTGATGTGCGTCATCGACTTGGATTCAACGCTAGATACAACTACACTATACTGCATGTCGATATATCTGTAATTGCATAGACGTCGAAAGACCAAAGCTGAAAGACCACATCCGGTAGAGCTCTGTTATGAAAATAATTAGGCAGCCTCCAAAGACAAACTGACTAAACAGATGTCGGAAAAGGACAGGCTTACTCATCAGGAAGAAGTTTGACGCCATATTTAGTATGCTATGAGAATAGCGTTAAAGACCATAAATGTCTCTGAGAGAGACGTTAGAGACAGCACATGAAGTTTAGCAACTCTAACTGATTGGATGAAAGATAGTGAAAGCATTCTTGCACGCAGACGGCAGAACAAGGAGAGAAAAGAGCAACTTCAATTTAAGTTGGCAGGTTTAAAAAGTGATAGGGAGCAGGAAGCCAAATTAATTGGAAAGCTGACGCCAAATGTAACAGCCGACAGTTAATTTAACTTGTCGAGTAAACTGGCGGAAAAGTCAATGCTTAGTGAGACCATCAAGGAGAAGGAGAGGGATGGTTTACCGATCAGCAAAACCTATAGACCTATAGACAGTATGGAGCACTTTGAAAAGTAGTTCCGTTGGTTTACTCCACAAGTAATATATACCTTAATTTCTGATGCTTCAAAGTAAGATATAGACAATCCTTCCTAGCAAAGCGGACGTTTGCAAGAAAACTCAACATATAATGTGCTACAAGGCATTAATCACAGTAGTCAAGACACTGATTGCATTTTGAGGAGACTAAGAAAGTATGAGACTTCCATTGCTTTGGAACGTACCTATTGTTGCGGCTATCGTTAAAAGGATGTGGGTAACGCATGTGATGGCGGTTAGGATATGGAGTTAGGTGAAAAACGTTTTGGACCTTGAGTATCCTAAAGATAGTCTTTTATTCCATGACAATATACGGACGCTGATTCTCTTAACGTAAAATGCTTCTTGAAGAATGACACCAGACTGTGCATGCACTCATTCTAAGCGTTGAAACATGGGAAGTTGCGGGAAAGTTTGTTTATTTAGATATTGGTGTGACGTAAAAATGTATTTATAATTTGTAGAAAGTCAGATAGTCGCACTAGAAAGTCGATCAGTCAACACATACATGATGGAATTGGTGATGTCCAAAGTGAAAAATATAAATAATCAGAGAAAAAGGAAGAAATGATTTCAAGAGGTTAAAGAAGGGTTAGTCATTGCCAAAGAAAGTGTAAAATGATGATAACGAAATTGGAATACACAAATCTGTGTACAATAAATTGATCCAAAAACGAATTGTTACAGTTAAGGTAAACAAAGAGGTTTCACAAAACGCTTCTAAATACAGAGTTTAGGCTTTTGATTTTGTGCAGCTAGTCCTGTACAAGTGTAAAAGCGGTGGAAATGTAAACCTATAGAGTAATTCAACTTCTTAGCTCTGTAAATTACTTTGAGCAATAAATCTCGAGTAGGTGAATGACCTTTATCTCATTAGGTGTTCAGAAATGTATGAAATCATGATTCTTCTGTCGCCTTTGGTAAACCAAAATTGTTAGTGTTTGGCAAAGCGTTTCCTAAGAGAACCAAGTTACACCGTTTAGTGCAATCAAATCTGCAAGAGTATGTGAATTTATAGATACACACAGATGTGGACATAAGCAGCAACCCATTCTTAAAACATTACAGAATCAAACGACAGCTCAAGAAGATCAATTGCAGGCTAAAGGAATAGAAAGTATTCTTGACACACTTGAATAAACGCCTCTTCAATAATTCAGTTACAGTGTCCCTTTTGAATCCCAATTTCACGATAACAATTTTATAGGAAAAGTAAATGAGCGCCAGATAAGTTGTTTTTTCAAGTTTTCCTCACCAAACTCTTCTAGGGCATGCATCATTTAATAATATAGTTCTCAGAGTTTCAATTTCATTATCCACCGTATCTTTTGAGCAGGTTTTATAAATTCAAGAATACAGAAAATAAATGTGCAATGAACAAAATATTATTGGGTAATACATACACCTGCATATTTTATTTACGCTACTCAAAAAATATAACAGTTCACAGAATAGTAATCAACCGCATCAGCTAGTTATTTAATGTAAGAAAAACTAAAGACATATCATTCCAATTCAGGAAATAATCTAACCATGAAGTCGGTAAATAATACATGCTTGTGAATAAATCAAAGTATTCCAGAAATCATCCATCCTGAAGTTTTATTCATATAACACTATATTGTTAAAACAACAGAATATGACAGGCTAAAATATCAATATATAACAGTTGTATAGAGAGTGCCCATCATAAATCAGAAACCGGATCTCTGTCAGAATAGTGACACTGACGGATAGGAAAATGCACCTAGAGTTTCAAATAAAGCAAAAAGAATGCCAATACCTAGTACCATAGAAATGAAACTATCGGCAATATTGAGGCATTTGTGATTGCATCCCATAAACCGAAACGGACTGATGGATTCCATTCACAAATCAACAAAGAAAAATAATTTATTGTACCATACTTATAGAATAAATACGTATGGTATTATTTTAACTTCGTACTTGAAAACTCAGGGATTAAAATACCTTGCTCTATGCAAACAATAGTATTTGAGCGCATTAATGAGAACGCGAATACACTGATATGCTATTTAAAACTAAAAATAGAAAACAAGTATACGAATAAGAGGTCAAAGTTATACGACAAGACGAAAACTCACTTTGTTGGTCGATTTTTTAGTCGATTCCAACTCTGGATAGAATGAAAATGGATGAAGTGATTCCAAATCAGAATACGATTGAATGGTTTGAACAATTTCATGCACAGTACACTGATTTGAAGTTCGTGGTACAGCAATCTGTTTCGCAAAAAGTAAAATACAACAACACCAAAGATATATGTACATAAACGTAAACTTCGAAAAATCACGCCTACCTACCTTGTCAATGATCAGTATACTTAATCATCTTTATTTTGTGTTTGGTTAAGTTGGCAACTAGTCCCAACGGAAGTTGAATAAAAAACACGAAAAAAAGTTATAGCAAAACAGAATTGACCATTAACGGCTTGCTGATATAACAGTTATTTAAAAACAAGAATACTCTACGAGCTAGTCTTTGTATATACACCCTATATTGAATTGTTTAACAAACATCATACCGCATAGATATTTGTTGACTGAACCATAATTATAAAATAACAGCAAAAGTATAATTCAGTTAGTAAGTATCATTTCATTACAGAATACCTACTAAATAGTTGATATGACGGAAGGAATACACTTCGAAATTTACTCAACAATTACGTGGAACATTTATAATTTGTTGGATGCTAGTTTGTTGGAGGTGATTAGCAGAAATCCCTGCACTGGAACTCATCAGCAAAGCGAATTAGATTGATAGGATTCAGTCAACACTCAGGAGTAGACAACATGAAAGTGGTTGCTCTCTAGTTACCAATCAATGTGCACTTACAATTACTCGCAATCTTATAGAACGTTTTATATATTTTGAAGCATATATAAATTTACAATATCTCCCTGTAAGTGCTTATTGATTTGAAAAAAATAGTTCTAGAAACGGAAGTTCATCCACCAGGTACCAGAAAATATTCGAAACCACAGGATCGTAGGTCTTATTCTCTGATCATTGAATGATAAAATAAAAAATATCAAAGAAGAGTTACTCTTTTCAGTGATGAAGATTTATCGAAAGCTAAAACAAGAATAAGTAACTCGGCCGCATGATATGACACACTTAGAAGAGCTAAGTACAGTTCAACAGTCAAAAACGAAAGTGGTAAGGTAGAAGGGTATGTTATAGAGAGAAGATATAATAAGGTAGTAATAGCACGGGGAAAAAATTTTTTTGAGGTAAAGTCTTTACACAAGTTACACCCATAGTAAGTCTAATTATTGAACAAACTTCTTTTGCATGAAGAACTCAGGCTTTAAACATGAATAGCCATGGCCTCTGAAGTTTTGTTTCCACGGCTTTCAGAGAGATTCCCATTTAGTCTGTAGATGACAATGACGTTAGAGTGTGAGTTCTTCTGGCGTCCAGAATCGATCAAATGTTCTAAAATTGAGCTGCGAAAGGATCTATTTTCTACCTTGTAAGATCAAGATGGTATACGCTCCACGATGAGTTTAGGAACAGACTCTGAGTACGGCTGCCACATTTGACTCCACAGGAACAGGATAAATAACAGATACACAATGAGGCTAACAGTGGTAGCTTATTCTTTACGCATATCAAATTACTGGTTGCGTGGAGAAAGTGCGTTGGAGCTTAGTTGCAAAAAAAGTTTTTCTCAATCAACAGGATCAGCAATTTTTCTATATTTCTACCGATGAGTCTCTATTGAACTTTAGATTCAAAGAGAGTAGCTTTTAGGAACCATAAGTGTATTTGGTTGAACCAGTTCTAGCTTCATAGTGAAATGCTCAGGGTATTTGTTGTCAATCACAGCAATTTAATGGTATTTAGCTCTTCGTCAACAGCGCCACGACAATTTTACGTATTCTATGGCACAAGAGAAGAATCAGGCCGTTTTATCTAGAAGAACCAACCGAAAAAGTTCATCAGCTGCCAGTTACACAAAAATTTTCTGTGAATAGAAACTTTTAGGTTTGCGTCCAAAAATATTATTTTGAATTTGATACCTTTTTTAATGTGAACTGATTGTTGGATGATAGTTGCTGAAAAAAAATAGAATATTTACTCAATTATCTGTATCATTAGATATGACGAAAGTGTCATCTACCCATCCTTCGAAAAATTCACAATGGTCTTGCTCAGATATCCTTTCAAGCTTCAACAAAGCAGATGGCCTAGAAGAGTCCAGATACACCGATTATGAGGTTGACGCCGAAAGAGCGAAACGGCCGCCTGCTGATTAGATCACTCTGATATGGCTGGTGAAATCTATAGATCAGCCTAAGTGGTTTCTAACTATCCAAGTTTTAAGTAGTACTACATTGGTTATTTTTCATTTCAAAGCGGAATATATTTTTTAAAAATTGTTATTCATCACTTGTAGTGGATGAAGGAAAATAAAACATCAAGAAGTACTAATACTAACCCACCTAAACTTCACATCCCTATTCCCATAAATAGGTGGTAGCTACTCATTATTTATCAAGCACTTCATCTGATTAAATGAACTATTAGTATTGAGGATAATGTCTGATAATTCGTGACTGTAAGGGTTTTAAAAAGAGGCAATCCATCGTCTGTTGTGCAGTGGTCACTGCACCCGGGCAATGGTGGAAATGACGAAAAGATATAGTCTACCTGGCCAGTTACTTCTCACTACAATCGAACCTTCTAGTCTAGCATCACACAGACAACTGTTTGTGGAGATTCAGTCGACTAGCGCAGCTTCGGTTCTAGCACTTGTTGTGACATCAATACTAAGAAGGCTAGCTGGCGACTGCAGGTGTCCCCTGACTAGTGAGGTTTTCTAGAATCTTAGCCAACCTTGTCTGTTGTCCGATATGAATGCGGTTTCATAATATTTGTATCAGATACTGCACTGAATGAATGCTTTCTGGAGGCGACCGCTTGGCGACTCGAAACGATGCGAACAGACCGGGATATTAGTCAGTGACAACTAAGTGAAACAAAGATATATATAAACAAAAAGACGGCACTGTTTATAAGTAAGAACAACGAACATAAAAGGATAACTGGAAAGATTTAGGAGAGTTCATTTTGTTTCACAAGCGAAGATTTGATGAACGCAAACTAGTCTCACTTGTTATCTTCGATTTATAAGTTGCGCATGGGAGGTGATAATCTCCAGATGCTCAGACAGAAGTGGTTGTCTTAAGAGAGCACTCTCCGAGCCTTTGACTAAACATCTGAGGCACAGGGCAGCAAAACAGTGTGAGTTACTATATTCGGATGGCTACTGCTGAAAAAGACAGGTTCTTACACCTTTCTTTTGATCAGGATGATGTACCGAACTGGCTTGGAATAATAAAAAAATTCAACTCGTCTAAATGTACTCAGTGCGTACATAGATCGGGTTCATAAAAAGAAAAGCAGTTATCAAATAGATGTGTTGAGGTGGATTTAAGAATCACTTCGAAATATTTGCTGTTGTGCACATTAAGTTGTTTGGCAGCCGAGACACTTCAAAGGTGTCTTAACCGAAACAGACTATTGGTCTTGAAGGACTAACTTTCTAAATTCTACACTAAAATGTTCATTATATAGGCTTTAAAGTTGCATTCTTACTGTAATCAGGGACCACGACAGGTTCATCATGTATGAACATAGCTAGCCAGTAACAAAAGTCCAGGACTTCAGTAACACCCAACCAAGTTGAGAATTCCGTTGAGTAATTATCCGAAGAGCTTTTGAGATATTTGCTCAGTGTCCAGCTTTCATCAGGTGTTTAGCTAATGCTTATCAGAAAACTCTGTTTCCTTCCAAACACAAAATTCGTGGAATATGCTAGTAAACCGAATAAGTACTCTTATCTCAGTCCTCTTTTTTTCAGTTGCCCTCACAAGTCCAAGCGAATTGGTAAATAAAGTTGTAGATGAAGTGAGAAAAGTATTTATCTACCGTAGATGGACTCAGTGACCACACAGTGTTGTAAGTTGATACCAGCCTAGCAGAAGCGAAGCTCCTTTTCCGTGTACCTTTTACGAAATATCTATTATTTTGGAAACTCAATAGATAAAGCAGTGGACATTAGCTATGATAAGAAGTTGAACAGGTAGTAGCAGATATTCTACGCACATTAACGAAACACACAAGAACAATAAGAAAATATAGCTACATACGACTCAAAAGTAATTCCGGATGGTCATGACTTCAACAGAATTCTGGGAAAAGAAGGAAAATCAATCGACAAGGTTTTAAACCCGTATCGAGTGAGGTGAGTCCGAAACATGAGTTTGACCATGCCGAGATACCAGCTACATCGAAGCACACAATTTTAACCAAACTAGGACTAGATTGGGATAAAGCGAATTAGCCTCACCACGGTATGGCATTCATCCATGAAGCTTGATTATGGTGTTGAGCAACGAAGGCCAGATTTCTGAGGTTTTCAAAAAGTTAGCAACTAATAACTGGCCAGCTTCGATGAAATGACGCACAATTCATCATGACAGAGCATATGTACCACTTTTTATCCTGAGCATTTCATCATTTTTTGTCTGTTCTCCACCTTTTCCCAGTTTCTCTTGACTACTTTAATGCCATGCTACTTTATTTCATTTCCTGTGTTCGGTATTGTCACTAATTGTACCAACCTGAACTATTATAATTTATGACAGGTTCTACAATATTGTGCTTCTCAAGTATGTGCTTTTCAAAGACATATATGAACGTGATCAGAAGTAGGTTAGAGTTGAGAACATAATGAACTGACATAAGACGTCCATTTATATAAAAATGGTAAAGGCGATGCTTTAGAATAAAAGATATTTAATACAACACTGTAAATCCACTCCAAACAAATATACTTATTTTTCTCTTTCTGTTACTAAGGTCAATGATATTCTTTATCATTTCTGCTAAACCTATTATTATTCATTATTTGTCCCTTGGGTTCCTAGTGGAACATAAGGCTTCAGTAGCACGTCTCCATTCCACTCTGTTCTCTGAAATCTTCTCAACCTGCCTCCACTACTGCCCAGAAGCTTTCATTTCTTTCTCACACCATCTCCTCCATGTCACCCTCGGACGCCCAACTCGTCGTTTCCTATGCGCGTTCCACTCGAAGGCCTGGCATGTGATATCCCCAAACCGTCTCAGTGCATGTCCAATCCAATCCATCTCCACTTTCTTCTGCATATTTGTTGGGTGATGGATTCTTGGTTGGTTCGTTGCAAGCCAG